GGTGGCAGGCTGGGGACCAGAATCCAATGTTTTCTCAGACACAAGGAATACACTATGCAAGTGTGGGTATCCTGGGAAGAATAGATAATGTCAGGGAGTTGCAGGGCCGTTGAGTTTCCTTGAGGATGAAGGCTGATGATAGAATGACGACTGGTTTTACCCTGGGGAAAGTGATTTTGGCTCTAGGGAGCAGAAAGCAGACCAGCTCAGCTTAGTGTAGTAGTGAGGAAATGAGGAGGGTGAGCTGGCATTGAGGAAGCAACCTCTGCTGCTTAGTTACTATTCATTTACACCTTTCTCAACTTTCCACATTTCTTTCCTCTGCTAGGGCTTAACCGGCTTATGGACTGGACTTGCAAGATGTTTGAGTACCTAACTTTGTTTTCATTCCTACAGATGGTGTGGAAGGTCGGGAGTATATCTGGGATGGAAGCATTTCTCTCAGCTTTGGTTGTTTGCTCAGCCAAGGAGGTGGGGCAAAGGAGGCAGTGTTCTATCGGCCCCACCCACCTAGCCCCACAGGCTGCTCAGAAGGCAGTTACTTGCCAGTGCAGACTTGCCTTCCCTCCTAGTCTTCTTCCTTGATTGCTGTCATCCAGGAATGCTTTTAGTGGTGACACAGAGAGATTTAGGAGATTAGAGACCAAAAACAAAGCAGAATTTATGGCAGGTGTGGCCCTCCCATCTCTGCCTGAATTCCCATTACATCTCTCACCAGCTTCCCGGACAGTATAATAGGGTCATTGTGAAGTGGGTATGGTGAGTCACCCAGGTCTTCCTGGGGTGCAGTGGAGCTGGATCGGCTTCTCCCCCTTATCCCTGGAACAGGGCCAGTGATAACTGGGGGTAGAATAGCCAGCTTCAGGATCCTTTATAATTTTCATGTCTATTTTATAAATAGAATCTCTTCGGTTTTTTTCATGTATATATATTTGCTTTTATCTTATGCATTAGATTTCTTATTTGGACTTATAGTTATATTCATGGTAAGTCTTTTCTAATCTTTTTCTTCCTTAAGGGTATGTGAAGTCTGTGGTTCGTTGCAGCTACACCTCATCCCTTATGCTGGATAATGTTGGCCTCTGAGCCTCCTTCAGTGGGTCTTCTCACCTGGGGAAATTCTCTAACTGGCAGGAGGCATCTTCATGAGGTTGTTTTGCATTGTTTTGCATTATGCTACTTACTGCTCTAAAGGAGTTCTTAGTGGATTTCTTGGTCTGGGGATTTGGTAGGGATCAGTAGATATTTCTTTCCCCCTCCCAGGACTAATTTTGAGTCCTGTTTCTAGATGGTGGACTGAGTTTTCCAGGTTCCATCAGGGAAATCCTTTAGCAGGGTCTTCTTATAAGCTCTGGCCCAATGCTGAAGCACTGTGGCTTTTTTTTTTTTTTTTTTTCTGTCCTGGTGCTTGAACTCTGGGCCTGGGTTCTATCCCTAGGCTCCTTTTGCTCAAGGCTAGCACTATACCACTTGAAGCACTGTGTCACGTCTGGCTTTTTCTGTGATTAGTTGGAGATAAGAGTCTCACTGTCTTTCCTGCCTGGGCTGACATTGAACCACAATCCTCAGATTTCAACATCCTGAGTAGGCGAGAGCCATCAGTGCCCAGTCAAGTTTATTTTTTTTTAATTTTAGCTCCTTTTATCTGATAAAGTGTTTTCATTTTTTTGGGGGGGGTATTTTATGCAGTATTATCTGTAGTAGGAAAAGGGCTTTCTGACTCTGTTCCATCCTCAGTGTTGACAGAAATCATACCATTATTGCCTACATCTTCATCAAAAGGATAAATCTTTGACTTGTTCTTAAAAAAATCATATATTGGATTAGCAATTATTTCTTGGATGTCACACCAAAAGCACAGGTGATAAAAGAAAAAATAAACTGGTCTTCATCAAAGATAAAAGCTTTTATGTTTCAAATGCTAATATAAATAATTGCAAAAGTAACCCATAAAATGGACAAAATAGTTACAAGTCATATATGTGATAAAGGCTTAAAATCTTGGGTGTATAAAAAACTCTTATAGCTCAATAAACAACAGAGACAAAAGCTGAATAAAAATTGGGTAATATATGGGGGCTGGGAAGTTGGTTCAATGGTAGGGTGCTTGCCTCGTCTGCATGAGACCCTGGGTTTGATTCCTCAGCACCACATTAGCAGAAAAGGCCACAAGTGGTGCTGTGGCTCAAGTGGTAGAGCACTAGCATTGAGCTGAAGACCTGAGGGACAGCGCCCAGGCCCAAAGTTCAGGCCCCACGACTGACATAAATAAATAAATAATTGGGTAATGTGGGGCTGGAGATTTAACTCAGTGGTAAATCTATTACCTAATGTGTCTGGATCCTGGGGTGCATACTCAACACTTGAAAAACAATGGACAAAAGTCTTGAATCTATAGTTTTTCCTAAGAAACTATACAAGAGACCAATAAATACAGGAAATGATCCTTAAGTACTCTAACCAACAGGAACATGCAAATCTAAACCACAATGAGCTATCACTGCCTCCATTAAGGTGACTTGTGCTTTTGTTTTGTTTTGCCTGTCTTGGGGCTGAGCAGTTTTTGCTCAAATGCTAGTGCTCAACCACTTGAACCACATCTCCACTTTTCTATCTTTGATGGTTAATTGTAGATAAGCCTCTTTGAGACTTAGCTTCCTGAGTAGCTATTAACAGGCATGAGCCACCAGTGCTTTTAAAAATACAGGTAGTGGGGCTGGGAAGGTGGCTCAGTGGTAGAGCCCTTGCCTTGCATGCCTGAGGCCCTGGGTTTGATTCCTCAACACCACATAAGCAAAAAGAAAAAAGCTGGAAGTGTCACTGTGGCTCAAGTGGTAGAGCACTAGCCTTGAACTGAAGAGCTGAAGGACAGCGCCCAGGCCCTGAGTTCAGGCCCCATGACCAGACCCCCCCCCAAAAAAAACATACAAGTAGTGGTAAAGATGGGGGGAACTGGAGCCTGATGCCCTGCTGGTAGTGTAAAATGGTATAGGCCCTGTGTAAAACAATATGCCTTCTTCAAAACTTGAAAATAGAATTGTGTGTGGTTTAGCAATTCCACTTTTGGGTTATACTCTTGAAGAAACTGAAAACAGGGATTGAGCAATTTATTTTTTTTATTTTTTAATTTTTTTTGGTCTGGTCGTGGGGCCTGAACTCTGGGCCTGGCGCTGCCCGTCAGCTCTTCAGGTCAAGGCTAGCGCTCTACCACTTGAGCCACAGCGCCACTTTCGGCTTTTTTCTTTTTGCTTATGTAGTGCTGAGGAATCGAACTCAGGTTCTCATGCATGCAAGACAAGCACTCTACCACTGAGCTACCTTCCCAGCCCCGCAAATTTTTTTTTAAAGCTTTTCTTTTTAATATATCATTCAAGAGTAACAACATTGAAGGCTGGAACAGTTAATGTAGATTGTTTTTTTTTAAATAAGTTTTTTATTGTGTAAGCAAATATTTTTATACCCATATTTATAGTACTATAATTCTTTTTTTTTTTTTTGCCGGTCGTGGGGCCTGAACTCTGGGCCTGGGCGTTGTCCCTCAGCTCTTCAGCTCAAGGCTAGCACTCTACCACTTGAGCCAGAGTGCCACTTCCAGCTTTTTCTGCTTATGTGGTACTGAGGAATCGAACCCAGGGCCTCAAGCATGCAAGGCAAGCACTCTACCACTGAGCCACAGTCCCAGCCCCAGTGTTGTAATTCATAATAACCAAAAAGTGGAGGCCATCCAAATGTTCAAGAATGTCAGATGAATGCATACAATGTGGTAGCTACATACCATGTGTTCCAAAATCCACAGGTTAAAATGAATACCAATGTAACAGTGATGGGAGCTTGGGCCTAATGGGAGGTATTCAGGTCATGAGGATTTTGCCGTTATGAGTTAATGTCACTCTAAAAAAGTCTGTAAGTGATTTCCCTTCTTCTGTACCCTACCATATGAGAAACAATATGGCCTCAGCTTCAGAGAATGCAAGAATTCTAGGGACCATCTCAGGAAAAGATGACAGGTTCCTTTCTAGGCACTGAACCTGCTGGCACTTTGATCCTGGACTTCCCAGCCTCTACAACAGCAAGAAAGAAACTGCTGATCATTGTAAATTGCTCAGTCTAGGGTATTTTTTAAAATATCTATACAAATGGACTTAGATGTAATGGAATATCATTCTACTTTAAAAAGGAAATCCGGGGCTGGGAAGGTAGCTCAGTGGTACAGTGGTTGCCTTGCATGCATGAGGCCCTGGGTTCAATTCCTCAGCACCACATAAACAGAAAAAGCCAGAAGTGGTGCTATGGTTCAAGGGGTAGAGCGCTAGCCTTGAGCTGAAGAGCTGAGGGACAGTGCCCAAGCCCAGAGTTTAGGCCCCATGACCAACAAAAAAAAAAAGGAAATCCTGTTGCACACTATAACATGTTCACTCATCCAGGACTACGCTAAGTGAAATATGTAGCAAAAGGAAAAACACTGATTCTACTTCTATTTATGAGTTATGTAGAACTATCAGTTTTGTAAAGGCAGAATGTAGGATGTTTTTCACAGGACAGGAAATGAGAGAATGGAAACTAACTTCCTTCTTTCCTTCCTATCTTCCTTCCCCGCCTTCCTTCTTTTTTTTTTTTTTGGTACCAGTCCTGGGGCTTGAACTCAGACCTGGGTGCTGTCCCTGAGCTTTTGTGGGCAAGGCTAGATAGAGCTCTACCACTTGGGTCACAGCTCCACGTCCACCTTTTTGGTGATTAATTGGAGATAAGATTCTCATGGACTTTCCTGCCTGGGTTGACTTCCAACTTTGATCCTCTGATCTCAGCCTCCTGAGTAGTGAGGATTACAGGTGTGAGCCACTGGGCCCAGCTTAACTCTTACTTAGTCATGATTATGCACACAACCAAGAGGCATTTTTACTGTTTACTTGGCTACTTCTGGTAATGGCTTCCTTTGATCTAATTTACATCCCTCCTATATTCCACCCTTCCTTGCACAAATTTACTTACTCTCCAGTGTGTATGTTTAAAAGTATTATTTTATTACTGCCACCAGGAGTGGGCTGCACCGTGTGGCAGGTGTATTAGGCTTGGGGTAAATGTGAATTGGGAGAGGGAGATGACAACTGAATGGCTGGAGGCGAAGACCAAGGTTTGAGGCCAGGCGCATGGAGGCTCAGATACGCTTCTGAGGTTGGGAACTGAGGAAGCTGTCATGGCAAGCTATGGCTAAGCCACCGATAAGATTAAGAAATTCTTGGAAATCTAGCTGACCATCAGCGTTGAGGTCCAGCTTCTTCATCATGCGGTCAAGGACGCCAGGGTCCTTCTGGTTCTGCAAAGATAATAATGAGAATGCTTATGTCACATTTTTCTAAACTGCTTTCTAGTATGCTGCCATATGGAATATAAAGTATAAAGAAGGGAGTTACCAATATTCCCATTTTTTACACACAGAAACCAACTCTTAGTTCATAGAAACATGATTGACCATTCCCCATTTCATGCAATTTACATACTGTGATTTTTAAACCACATGGTATTTCTAAGTTTTTTTTTGGGGGGGAGGTTGGTCATGGGGCTTGAACTCTAGGCCTGGGCGCAGTCCCTGAGCTCTTCAGCTCAAGGCTAGCGCTCTACCACTTGAGCCACTTCCGGTTTTCTGGTGGCTAATTGGAGATGAGAGTCTCATGGACTTTCCTGCCCAGGCTGGCTTTAAATCACTCAGATCTCAGCCTGCTGAGTAGTGAGGATTACAGGCATGAGCCACCAGTGCCTTGCTCTAAGACAAAGTTCTTTAATAGTCATGCAGAGCACCTCTGAGGCTCCTGGGGCTTTGTTTGGGCTGCTATACAGATCACCTGGTTTGGAGTGAATGAGAAGGCAGAAGTGTGGGAATTAAGCTGCTGACCCTTTATTCCTGGCCATGTTTCATACGGGGGGGACAGTGGACTGTGAAGGCTGGGACTAGTACCTTTGTGAAGGAAGCCAGTTCTGAACGCATGAACGTTAGGAACTCCGTCTTGGACAGAGTTGAGTTCTTCCCATCCCTTCCAGCATACTTCTGGAAAACAGCAATCAGGGACTCGATGCATCTCTCAGTCTCTGTAGGTTGAGACATTTTTTTTTTCCTTTGAAGAAAAACAATGCAGGGTTCAGACAAGGGAAAGATAACAAGGGCTAAATGCTGGAGGGCATGCCAGAGAATATCATCTCCTTTTGAGTAGGAGCATTCATAAGAGACTGGGTCATTTTTCAGGGTGTTGATGGGTCCAAGACTGCCATGGTAAAATGAAGTGAGGGCACATAGAGAGCACTGAGTGCTTGAAAGCAATAGATTGCCTGGATGATGGTAATGATTACTGATGCTTTTAGAACGTGCGGGTAAATATAAATGTAGCTATACATATCCACACCTCTACATACATACCAAGCATTAGCTGGAGATTAATTTGTCTCCAACTTTCTATGAATGTGTAGGATATTCTGTGATGCATGAAAATGCCAGTTCTTTTGAAAGTAATACAAAACTGATATTCATATTCTTTCTAGAATAAAACTAGAAGCACAGCTGTAATTGTTTATGGGATGGAAGATGAGAACATTTTAGACATTCAAAGCAGATTTCAGCCAAGCATGGTTGCATATGCCTATGATCCCAGCACTCAGGCGGCTGAGACAGGAGGATCTCAAATTCCTCCACTCCAGCTTGGGATACATAAGGAGTCTGGGTTTCCTCGTGAGACCTTATTGCAAAAGAACAGAAACAATGAAAGTATGCTGCATGTTTGAGGCTTAAGAATTATTCATTTTACACATGCAGAAAGTGGAGCATGAGGAGAGATGTAGCATGGTAGAGCTACCTCTAGAATCTGGGCCTCCAGGCCTTTGCTCTTTCCACTTCCAAATGCCCCTGGAATTCCCACTTGTGGGTGGCAGAGCCACAGGTACGGTTGCAACAGAATTGTGAAGTAGTTTCAGATCTTGTGCTGGGCTGATTTTTTTTTTTTTTGAGTCCGGTCATGGGGCCTGAACTCTGGGCCTGGGCGCTGTCCCTCAGCTCTTCAGCTCAAGGCTAGCGCTCTACCACTAGAGCCACAGCACCACTTCCGGCTTTTTCTACTTATGTGGTGCTGAGGAATCGAACTCAGGTTCTCATGCATGCAAGACAAGCACTCTACCACTGAGCCACCTTCCCATGGGCTGCTTTTCTCATAGCAAATTCCTTAAGAAAATTCTACTGGGCAGAGTGTGTGTGGGAGGTGGGGGCAGTGGAGGGGGTCCTGCCAGACAGGACCCAGGGCAGAAGTGAGGAGCCATTGCGCCCCCTCTGGTGGACAAGAGCAGCAAATGCAGGATTTCTGGGAACCTGCTGGGCCACACCCTTCCTCTAGAAGTTTTATCTTTTGACATTAACAATGATGTTTGGATGAAGACATAGGCAACCTAGCATTTGGTCTTTAATTTCTCCTTAGGATATACTTCCTGGATCCTCATTCGGGAGGCTTACACGTGCTAAGAACTGCCCTGTGCCCTCCGCTACACAGTGGCCTTTCCTCCCTTCAGACTTTATAGGCGATTTATCAGCCTACTGAGCTTCACCTACTCATTGTATCTTGGAGCATTTAGAGCCCTTGTGCCTTCTGGAGATGGATCACTCACAAGAGTGGAGCATTTTTTTTCCCCCAAAGGGAATTTTTACTTAAGCAAACAAAAAGTGTTGGTAGGCAGGACTGGGAGAAAAAAACAACAAAACACCACAGCCTAGAAACCGATGTGTTTGCACAACATGCCCTTCTTATCAGAACTAAAATCTCACTGTCTTAATAGTATCAGATGAAGAGAGGAAGGCTGGCTGTGGGGAGTACACCAGACTGGGGAGAAGGTTCCAGGCTGGTTCCAGCTTTGTGATCTTTTTCTTGTACCTATAGCTTCTTCCCTACCCCATGTTTTCCCCCCAGAAGCCAGATAGACTTGATTGTTAAAGGTGCCATTCTGCTATATGGTTTTTGACTTTCAACATTAATATTGACTATAACCTAAATCATTTTAATTTCTTTTTCTCCTGAAAACGGTTGCTGTTAAGACACAAGGAGAAAATTAAAATTTCTGGCCTTGAAGGCAGTTCTCCAAAGCAAAAGAAAGACAACGATCAAATTAATGAAATGAAACCGTGCAATTTGTAGAGCTTAACGGAACTCTGGAGCCAGTTTCTGAGGAGGCCCAGAGATTGGAAGGTTTTGCCCATGGTGGACCAGTGGCAGAAGAAAAGGGGGCCAGAGTTTGCCACATCTCATCGCACCCTTGGAGTTTTACATGGTGGGAATGAAACAATATGATAAACTAATACCATGAAAGAATCTGAAAAAGTGCAAACAACACCAACATCTGAGCAAAGCAATATATACTTACAACTCTCTATAGACATATATAGGTATATATACACACAGTATATACATGAAAATTAAGCTACAAAAAGAAAGCCCATCTATTGACAGTTCCTATCCTTAACTAGCACTTTCCTTTCTCCAGGAATTCATAGTCTCCTCCATCAGCCTCAGTCATTCCATGTCTTTATCATAGACTGGTGCAAGGGCTGCCTGCTCACCATTCCCACCACAAGACACATGACAGAGATTTCCATTTTGCTTGGATAGAAGAGGGTAAGAAGGAGGGGATATAGATGAACACATTAAAGCAGGAATTGGCAAGTGTTTTATATATATATTTTTAAGGGACAGCTGGAAATATTTCAGACCTTTGTGGTTCATATGGTCTCCGTCAATCTGCTGTAGCCAGGCGGCAAGAAAGAGCAGACCATGCGTAGGCCAATGGGTGTGGCTGTGCCTGTAAAACTCTATGTATGGTTTGACTTTCATGAAAGTTTCATCTGCCACGAAGTATCATTCTTCAGCCATTTGAGTATGTAAAGTGCATTCTTAGCTTTTGGACTGTACAGAAACCTCATCTGGCAAAAGGGTCCAAGCGTGCTGATCCCCCCCCTCCCCGCCTCCCCTTTCACTGAGAGGAATTAACAGGAAAGAGTTCAACATGGGGAGTGGCAGGAGCAGGGAAGCGAAAGGGTGGGGTGGGAGGCGAAAAAGAAGGAATAAAAGGAAGGGGGGGGGCAGGAGGGGGGGCAGAGGGGGGGAGGGCTGGGCGCGGCGCGCCCCTCCCACGTTCTTGCTGGAGGTGGCGCAGGCTAGGCTTTCCTTTCCGGCCTGGACTTTTGCCGGTTGCTCACCAAAACTTTGGTTTTCCCCCAGAACTTTTAAGTTCTCCCAAGTTCCCTTTCCACTTTCCAGAAATACCTCTAGGCCGCCTCCCACAATCCAACTCCCGACCTCCTCCCTCCCCCTCCCCCCCGGCTTCCTAGGCCTTGGGTCGGGGGTCGGGGGGTGTGAGGGTAGAGGGGCGGTGGCTCAGAGGCGGGGGGGGGGCGGACAACAAGGTCCCCGCCGATCGCTCCTCTCCCGGGCCCAGGTGGGGAGTCCGTCGGGCCCCACCCGGCCGGGGCGCCCCGCTCGGGCCGGCCCCGCCCGCCCTGCCCCGGCCTCAGGCCTCCCCTACCCAGGGCAGACCGCGAGGACCTCGGGTTACCACCCCCGGGGCTCGTTCTACTGCTGTGATTTCAGGGCTCGCCCTTCCAACCCCGGCCGTCTAATTACCTCCCGCAATTAGACGTTCCTGATCTGTCTTCTGCCACGTCCGCACTCACATCGAAGATAAAGCCGGGGGCGCGGCTAGATCGCTCCCCACCCCTCCCACCCCCTGTTCCTTTGCATTGAAGAGGAAGAAAGCGAGTTAAAAGCGAGGCTTACCAAGTTGGAGTAGAGCGAGGCCCGGACGGCGGCGGCGGCGGCGGCGGCGGCGGCGGCTGGGAGCGGCGGAGTG